TGGCCTGAATTGTTTGGAAAAAGTAACTAGTTGTAGTAGTTGCTTACCATCGTTGGAATGAGTAAGCTGCTAATAGGAAGTATAGCACATCTTTTCCTTGAAGCGACATCATTTTATTAGTTCCAGCCTCCTCTTCCCTTGAGCAATTCTGTGCTCAATCTTGCCGTCCTAACTTGATCCCAGGCCCAGTTTTTCACTTCATTCCTTCCCACAGTACTTATCCTAAATTTCATATGCCACCTCTCTCTCTTTTCCCTTCTACCAGTTTCAATGGCTCTTTTCCCCCTAAATTTCCAAATAATCAACCCAAAGAACCACCTGTTTCTTACCCTGCAGTCTGATTAAGCTAATTCCCCTTTTTTCACATTGCTAGAAAATTGTAACGTGTAAAGTTTGGGGTTATTTGGCTAAAGGCAAATTCATACCAGTAAAAAATTATATTTATTTTTTAGCAATCTTAATAATTTCATAATTGTCATACATTTAATTTGCCATTTCAATTGAAAAAGTGTAAAAAAGTGTTATTAAAAATGGCAGATAGTAGCATTGGCAATGATACAGTGTATTACTTAAATTACAATCAGATAATACACTGGAAAAAGCTATCAGAATAGACAAACAGTAATAGGATGATAGAAGTTTCTTGTTTCAACTAAGTTTGATTCATGCAGGCTCTAACAGTGGAACAGAAAGTCTTGTTTTACATTCATAATTATTTGTGGGTATTCCAATAAGCACAAGATTGTCAGGATGTAATAGTATTCCAGTACTTCATCCTTTCCACAGAAACACTTGGGAGTCAACTTCCCACTGTAATAGGGAAGCTTGATTGTTAATCAAATTATGGGACCTGGTCACAGAGAATGAAAATTGAAAGGAATAGATTATTTTCTAAGGCCTCGTCTTTACTATTGAGTAAAATATCCCAAGGAGTAAAGACCAGGTTAAACCCCTTGCACAGTCAGAACAGAAAGGCGTGCCATGGATGGTTCAAGGGGCCACTGTGTATGTGTGTGTGTGGTTTCAAGTGTGCTTTTGAGACTGTTCTGGTATGCCAAGCCTGTTCCTGGGTACTAAGTACTTCCAATTAGGCAATTTAATTGGTCACTGAATCACTGATCTCTGTCATGATTACCGTCATGGTTGATGGAGTTTTTTATGAAGGTGTAAGGAAATGGACAAATAGGTAAGCGATACCAGAAAATTTTAAGTCAACGCTTTCTGTTCACTTTAAGAAAGGGAAGTTATCATGTTTGCCTGTATGACTGGAAACTTCCTGTCAGAATAGTGGAAATCTGTTTTCACCTGATGCAGGACTGTGTGAGGGGATATATGTGTGTGTGTGTGTGTGTACACATTAGTGATCATACTGCAAAACCTATAGCACTGCCTTATCAGACTAACTTCATTATTTCAATATAAGTGAAATGAATTGCTGCTGCAAACTTTCTATGCTATCTGTAACGAAATACGTAGTGTTTCAGAAATCTGTGAGGATGCAGACTAATATTTTCATTTTGCTATACCATCATTTGATATACTTCTGCCATCAACTACGATAATGTAGCAAGTAAGGAATGTGTGGTAAAAGGCTAGAAGTCTAAATGAAGGTTGTCAAGAAAAAATATCTTGGAGTTCTTTTGTCTTTTTAAATATCTGCTATATCTAAACCTTGTCCATGTCTCCATGGTCTTCCGAGCATTCCAATCTACATGTGCATATGCAATCATGATTTTCATGAACAGCTCAAAAGGCATGTTTATTTTAGATGCAGACCTGGAACATTTCTGGAGTTCTTTTGCACTTAGGCAATGCAAAATCTTTTCTTTTTTACATTATGATTTATTTACATTATGATTTTAAGTGTTTTAGTCTGGCTATTACCCAAAGGAAAGTTGTGTATATTTCAGTTTTGGACAGTAAGAATTAAGTATGTCATAGTCATAGGCATTTTTGGTGTTATGTTGTTAACATACTTATAAAAACATAAAAAATTTATTTTAAGCTAAAGATATGAAGTAATGATAATAAAGAAACAAATAGTGGAGTATTGACTGGATGCTCAGAAGATAGATGGCATTTAAGCCTTTTGCTCTGCATGTTGAAATACATAAAGCATAGAAAAATATGTTGCCTTCAAATATGCATACTATCATATTTTGACCTTTGTGATGTCAGTCATTCTCTCTTCCATACAGATATGGCATGCACCTTTCCTTTCTTTTTTACTAGCCATGCATATTTTATGGAAAATATTACTGTACTTCAACAGAAAACATTTACAGACAGACACATCCTTACATGAATAATATCTCTATAATTATTATTGTTATACGGTTAGAGATACTATGAAAACGCATATTATGTTCTATATTCTTGATTTATGATGAATGCCTTGTACTCTAGTAAGTTACTGCATTAATTCATGTACAGAACTGATTTTTCTTCTTAATGAATTCAGACATAATCTTCTCATTTTTTATGTTGCACTTCTAAGAGCATTTTATAGTTAGTCATTCTCTATTATAAGTTAGATGGCATGGATAACATGGGCTTTAAAGAATAGGGAAAAGTATGAATAATGTAATGCCAGAGGATCAGGTCAAGTACAAGCTAAAGCTTACCTCACTTCTCTGTATAGATGAGCAGAGTCCTGGGTGATGAGGAAGCATATTTCAAACTTCTTAAAAGTTATTACATATCAAACTGTGTAAGTGGTGTATCTAAACACCAGCTTTCTCTGATTCGGAATTCCTGGGTAAAAATAATAAAAAAAAAAAAAAAAAGAAAAAGGTTGAACTGCCTGCTGTACATTTACAAGCAAAAGTCTCAGAACTTGGTAAGATCACTAGAGCTCTGAGTTTCTAGGACAAAACTTGATACCAGAGGTTGGACACTTAAAATAGTTTAGTGGGGATTTGAAAAGTAGTTAGGACTCAAATCCTAAGCAGAACATGAACTGATGGTGTTTCATTCACATACAAGTAAGTGAAGGGAACAGTCTGAGGTATTCCTTCTTATGAACAGTAAGTTAAGCTGCTTGCAAATAGCAATTGCATTCCCATTCATGTTCTGCAACACATGTTCTGCTTGAAGTCCTCGTTTTCTTTAAAGCTTTGCTCTTTAAAAAGTGGTTGAATATATTACATTGATGTCTTATACTTTTGAAAGACTATCAGGAAAATTTGTCAACAATTCACTAGAGAGATAAAAGGGGAAGTGAAAGCGAATTGTTAACAATAAAATGTCACCTACCAGCTGGAAGCACTTAATTGCTTATTAGTACTAATGTGACATTTGCAAGAGTTTTGAGTTGTTAATTCCAGGGCTGCATCTAAATCATTTAAGGGTGTATTCATGTGGATATAGCCTGGGAATGCCACCACATTGAGAATAAGCTGGTATGCAGTTGTTTGCCGTCATCACACATATCATAGCTGCTGTGGATAGACTCCTACTTTTTTATTTGATTGTTCTTCCTGTGGGTGTGCATATATTCTAAAGCAAATTTTAACATGATGGAATTATTTTTTAATACTTCTTGGCAGCATGTTTACTGCCAGGCTCTTATGGGTAGACTGCTTGTGGTACGCAGGCCTGTGCATTAGTTTAAGAACCCTTATACTTTTTGCAGCCTGCAGTGTAGCTCTCTGATTATTTTTGTAATTTTTAGTCCTTCTAAGGATCTCATCTTCAAATTTGCAGCAACCATGTCAAACTGGGCTGTGCTGAATTGTGTATGGCTTCTCATTCTTGTGACAAACTGCAAAATATAAATTGCATAGTCAGGTACCTAAGTTAGAAGCTTTTCATAGTGGTGACTATGCTTTTGCATTTATTTGACAAGAGGTGAGCACAAAGATCTCTTGTAGTATGTATAATTAACTTAATATGCTTATAAGGAATATTTACATGTGGCTGATGATACATTTTATCCACATGCAAAAGAGGCAAAGATAATAAGTGTAGGTAATATAGCTACCTGTAACAATGTGTTTGATTACTAGAAAATCATTAATTATAAGCAAATTAAGATATGAGAAATAAAAGTGGAGGATAAACATGAGGTTTTCTGTGTTTCTTGAGAAATCACTTTACACTTCAAATGTGGACTTTTGTGATTAGACATTCCTTTGAAATACCCCAACTTCAGAGGAGCTGTAGACCAGGGACTCCTTTGCTTTCTAATAACTCCTTGTAAATTGGAAGAAAAAAACTACTTCCAAAACCATTTTTTTCAGGACTGTGTGCATATACTTATAGTAAAAGAGAAATAACATTCTTCTGTTTTTGATAAATGGAAAATATTTAGTGCTGTGACAAATATATTTAAAATATATAAATTTTGACATGTTTTCAAAATACAAACAAAATAGAAATACTTTGGTTTTATTATTTTGACATGCATGCGTTTGTTTTTTGGCATATTCTGTTACAGATGCTAGATCTCTTTGTTAATTATTTAAATAATAACAAGGCTTTTATCTAAATTCACCTTTTATCACAATAGGATAAATATTAGGAAAACTTACACTCAGAAATGGGAAAGCTCTGGAGCTAGCTGTGTGGGGACAGATTTCCCAATGATGGCAGCCTATCAGACAGACCAGATAAACCTCTGCCAAAGATATTATACTGAAGTTATCACTGCCTTCAAGCAAGGGAACAGGCAATCTGACTTCTTGAGATTGCTTTGAGACAGAGATTTATATGTTTTTTCCTCCTAACTGAAATAATGTGGAAAATCCCAAATTTTAGCTATCCCCTTGATTCATGGTGTCCCACTGGCTCCTCAGACTGAATGTGTGAACCATATCGATAATTTTATCTTTAGAAACATATATCAGATTTCTAATTTTGTTAATAATTTCAACGTTCTATACAATACTTTTGCAGCTCCTGTATTCTCAGATTTTTATGTCTTCTGTTGTGTGATGTGTATCAGTCCTTCTCCATCTTATTGTCTCATACTTGTATTTTTCTTTCTGCCACCTACTCAGTCATTATGTTACTTTACCTCGTTCCCGGTACACCCAGTCCACAGAACACCATTACAGAGATGCCAGGTATATGTTTTCCTCTGTGTGACTCTGTGTGGATAATACATGTACTTCTACGTACGTACATGTCCGCTTCTGTTTTTATTAGTCTGTGTATAGTGGTAGAAAATTTAGAAATGTGAAGTTAATATCAGCATTATCTTTCTTAATATAGTACTTAATATAACACTGAGTAATTCATCATATGTTTCACTTTTTAAATGTTTTTTCACTGCCAATAGTCTATAATTGGTGGTCCATGAAGATGATGCTATATTTACATCATTCTGATGTCTTTTAAGAAGTCAATAATTATTTAAATCAACAAATGCAAATACCTACTAATACTGTGATTTCCATATACGGAATGTCATACATGTATGGCTGTGTTAAAGATTACAATAAGTAAAACTGGAGTGTGATACCTTTCTCATAGTCTCAGCTGCAGGCCAATATACCTGAATTTTTCAAAGTAATTTTGCAAAATTCACCAAAGTTCCAGCTGAGTTTTGTTGCAGTGTTTTGTTCTGTTGCTGACATTGCTTGCTTTTCGTGTTGTTTTGTCCTCATTTCATCTTTGTGTTGCTTTTCATTGTGTTCACCCTTTATGTTTTGGCAGCCAGGATCACACAATGTATCCTCTATTTTGTGAAGATGCAATCAGATTACTTCGCTCCCGTAAGATGTGCCGTACCTATTCTGAGGGTGCTTACTATGATCTTGAGAGGTATAATTGATGTAGAGCATATCATTAACTCTGCCACTTATACTTTGACAGTACTGTTTAGTTTCCAAACTGAGAATGTGATCTATGTTTTAAGTGATAAACACATACGGTGAAGATGTTTTTTAATACTCTCTGAGTACATATGCATCTAAAACTGACTACTCAGGACTATGGGTAAATCCCAAGAGAAGTTGAATAGCTTTATAGAAGTCAGTTTCATGAATTAGATTACATGGATATTATAAGTAAGTGTCTTTGTATAGCCCTTATTTTTGCTGGAATTTTTCAAAGTGCTTACAGTACTTCTTCTCTTTGAAATAATGAGCAAAAGCCTATCTACTGCAAAGTACACATGAATAGGGTCATTCTGAAATCTCATGCTTTACTTAACTGAAAAGTAGAGTGAAAAGTAAAGGCTTATGTTGTAGATATTTGTATACTGCTTATTCTGTAATTTATGAGTACTTGTATACATTGACAATACCTGTGTGTGATTAGAGAACATCAGAGTTCCTATTTATATATATGAAATATATGGGTGAGAGAAGTTGAGCCCATAATAATTTCTATGGAATAATTATACTTGAAATTCAGTGGCTTTTAAGAGATGTAACAAGACATGCTGATGTAGTACTGTGATTATGATGTTTTCAGAAATATTGCAAAACAGGAAGAAGTCTACATGGTTGTGTGTGAGTAGAAATAAGGATATTAATCTGATAAACTGTGAGCCAATGAAAAGGAAGTGTTGCCTTCAGATCTTAAATAGCAGATATAACGGTTTGATATGGCTATTGCTTTACAAGAGGGGCAATGTAAAATTTTCCATAGCAAGAACTATAGAACTCTTGATATAGTAACTTCATGGCTTCCCTCTGGATGTGAGTTTGTCTGAGAAGTTCGTTAAGGCTTGCTCTGGATTCAGATCATATATAACCATATTTTAGTAAGGGTAAAACTACTTTTGGATACAGAAACAAAGCAGAATCTGAAACTTTTATAGTAACATAGAAGTATTCCTACTTTTTAAAAATTCTCCAAAGCTGAAGTATAGTAGACATTATAACCTTTACAATTCAGTTAAACATTTGTTTTGAAATGATGCTGTTTTACATGAAATCAAATATAAAGCAAGTATGTAAGTAGTTCAGTCTGCATGTAGAAACTTTAATAAGGAGAGGGAGTTTGGGGTTTTTTTTGGAAAATATGTGATGAAATGTGCTCATACGTATGCTATTTCAATAGTTCGTTTTTATATACTGTTTTTTGCCTTAGTTACATACTCACATTTGCATTAGTCTGTCTGAACCTGTTTCAGATTGCTGTTTGTATCTGTGACTTCAGATATTGCTGAAAGTTGGAGCTATTATCAAATTGTCTTAGTTTGAGGATCTTGACTTGCAAATCTTAATCTTTGTTTCTACAGAAATTAATTTCTCAAAAACAAGTAAAAGCAATGAAAATAAAGGGAAAAAGTGACAGTACTTCTTAAAAATGAAAAAGCTGGGATTTAAACAGCAAGATGGAGTAAATCTTTTCCAGGGCTTTATTGAAGAGAAGGCTATTAAAGCTAATTCTTCCTAGGGTCAGAAAGGAAAATCTGACACGAAGTGGAATATCTCTAGCTCACTGTTAGAACAGTATCTTGAGATTCCTTGGGCCTAGGAACTGATCCTGGATTCTCTGGTCCTCTTGAATCCAGGCTGCCTGTGGGTAACATTACTGTTCAAGTTACTTGAGTCATCTTACCAGATATGCACTAGTCCGAATAGTAGTGACCTCATAGCCACTATCATAGCCACTATCATTTTTCCTAGTTTTTCATCCTTTTTGTCTTTCCATGTTCTGACAGCAGTTTGCTAGGTATTTAAGGACTGTTTAAACCATAATCTTTATCTAGTTCCTCCTTATCCATTGAAAAACACTAAGTAATTTCCTCTTCCTTATTTTATTTACTGGAAATATATGAAAAATTACTTTTTAAACAATATTTCCCCATTTATCTTTACACTTTTTACCCGTTTAATGCTTACTTTAAATTACATTATTTTTGTAGGTCAAGGTGTTAGTCCTGTCTTAGTTCCATCTGCTTAATCAATATCATGTCGATATCAAACAACCGCCTCTTTTCCTGTCTTTCACTTTATTAAGCATGTGAAATAACTTTCCAGTTTCCAGTGTTCATCAAAATAGCCAACATTGCTCTGCACAGTCCAACATTCAGGGAAGAGTCTCTTATCTGAGACAGAGAGTTTTGTATCTTACGTCACTGTGCATCCACCAGTGTGGGTGTCCTGCAGGCAAATATGTCATATGTATACATCAGTCAAAATTACTTACCTTCTTTGTTATTCATGGCTCCTTTCATTGCTTGTTTTGTAGTCGTTCACAGACAGCCCATGAGTTAATGGTCTCTAGCAGTTTTTTTTCTTTTTTGCCCTACAGAGTGACTACTTGGTCCTCTTTCAGCTTTTCTCTGCTGAAGTTTGTTTCAGTTACTGTTTATCAGATTTGACAGTCTTTAGTTCATTAGTTCTAGGATACATTTACTTTATCAAAAACCTTAATTCCTGAGTTCATTCTTAGGCTATGGCACTCATCATTTTGTCTTCGTGATAGTTCCCCGCTTTTGAAGAAGTCAAACTGTTTCCCTCCCAAAAGAAACAGAGGCGCATTGACAAGGTACTTACTCCAGCATATGCCTAAGACAATAAGCACATGTGCACCTTCAGTGACTTCAGTGCCCTTTGGACCCAAGGCTTTCTCAAGAGCACCTTGCTGCTCAGTACCCCACTCAAGTTTTCCTCCACTCTTTAATGGGATAGTCAGCATGGTAGCACTATGTGATATCAGTTCACACTGCTGCAGCTACTGAAATCGAACATACATGACATCATGGCTGGACATGTAGAGCCTTACTGATTCTTTTATTTATATCCCCCAATTCACAATCCTATAGAGTTATACAGGCTAGTTCATAATTTGACAGTCACCCATTTTAAATTGGCTGACATACACATGATCTCAATGACAGAGTAATGTTCTCAAGATTTTTATCCCAATTGTTTTTAAAATTAAAATATTAGCAGTTCCTCCCAAATAAAAATCTCCTGAAAACCTCACTGTATGAAATTCTTTCTCAACTTACCTATCTCAGAACTCAGCTTGGTCACTGAGAACACCACACAGTGTGCTGTTTTAATTTTTTTCACTCAGCCTTTCAGGTTAGTGTTTGGAAGTCAATAAAAGCTAGTTTGTGTACATTTTGTGCAGGACGGGAGGTTTATTTCAGGCAGAATTTCTGTTGCTTCACTCAAGAAACAAAATTTTGCTTCTATTTTGTTTCTGACTTTCATTTTACCAGTCAAATTTTCTAACATCCATATCCTATTTTTGGTGAAATTTCTTAGTTGCTCAAGTACTGGTTTACTATTGGTGTAACTTTTCACTCCTATGAAATATGTGTGCATTCATCAACTGTTCTTAATACGTTGTTAATTATTTCTGAATATAATTTGCAAGTAGAAGTTTAAAATTACTTATATATGAAAATATATGTTCAGAATATACTGCTGAGCTGTAGATAAATGTGCTCTATGTTCATCACTATCTTAATAATACAGTGAGGGAAAAGATAATGAAAGAAGCACCCTTTAAAATGTCTGAAATATCTGTGCTGTTTATTCCATATTCAGGAGGACTAGGCAGGAGAGAAGAGTGCCTAATTCATATTATGACGACACAACCTATACTCCTGAAAGGTATTTTAATTTATATAGTAAAAATAGATAAAGTTGAGTAATACATTTTTTTTGAAGTGTAGTCTAAAATTTTTAATTGGCCTATACTAATGATATTTAAATTTACAGTGCACTTTATGCAGTATTTCTCTAAATATAGAACAACTAATCATCATAGTTTTAAGTACCTCATTTACTTTTAGCCCTGCATTAACTTGATTTTACATTTTTTTTAAAGCATAATTCTTAACTTAAAATTTTTTTTATTCATTAGATGTGGGAGGAAAACTGAATAGTACAGAGGAGATAGGTACAACTTGAAGGTTTTTTCCCCACTTAACTGCAGCATATTTCTAATGGCTAACCTTTTCAATCTCTAGGAGTGATTCTAGGACAATTTAGAATCCTCATTTTCATTCTTTTAACAACCTGGGTCATTTAAGAAGGTCCCCAGCTTTTGATATGTTACTGCCCATATTGACTTAAAAAAGGACTAACTGAATGCCCTCAAATTGATTTTGGGTGCTAGCTGTGCTAGGACCAAAAGTACTATTGTTCTT